GCTTGTGAGGCGAGCCCTGGGCGCGCAGGGGGCGGGGCTTGTGAGGCGAGCCCTGGGCGCGCAGGGGGCGGGGCTTCTGGGGCGAGCCCTGGACGCGCAGGGGGCGGGACTTGTGAGGCGAGTCCTGGGAAGGCAGGGGGCGGGGTTTGTGGCGAGCCCTGGGCGCGCAGGGGGCGGGGCTTGCGCGATGAGCTCATTCGAGGACAGGGGGCGGGCCTCGCTCGGTGAGCCCTGGGAGGGCAGGGGCGGGACTTTGCAGGTTGAAGCCCTTCTGACTGTCAGGCTTGGAGGTTTGAACTCCTCTGGGAAGAGAAGCAGGTGATCGGAAATTCAAACCGAAAAGCCTCAGCAGGTGCTGCTCACAGGAAACGTGTAGCTGTCCCGCACTGCACTCAGGGTTTTTTTCGTTAACCAGTGATCCAGTGCGAATCCTACCTTAGGGCTGGGAATGACAAGAAGTGCCGGGAGCGACAGGAAGGGGGGGGGGGGCGGCTACTGGTTTAAAGTCTGAGGCCGGGGGAACTGAGACAGGGAACAAGACATCATCAAGCCACCCAAGGAAGAGCTCTCCGCTTTAAGTTGCAAGCTCCGCTGTGCTGTTTGCAGTTACCTAACACTAGATATGTTTCTCGGCAGCATGGCTGCGACTTAACATTACATGTCCATCGCCTAACACGTGACTTTTAATGTCATATACGTATATTTCTATAGATGTACTTACTCTGCACACACACATATACACACACGCATACACGCACGCACACACTTATTTGTATGCAGTCCATGAGAAGACTGAGGTAGATACACATGCAGTTCATTTTTATTCTTTGTATTTATTTTATTTTTACATTTTTGATAATTTTTTTGGCTATTTATTTATTAAATGCCGAATGCTGTTTATTAAAGGGGGAAAGGTCTTAAATACAGGCTTACAGCACAATGGGAGAACCCCAGAGGGCAGAAGTTCACCACCGATGTTTTACAATCTTGCATCTAAGCTGTTAACACCCAATATGCACGATGCACAGACCAGGAACTTCCCTTAAGCATTCAGGAGGGTGGAAACCCGGCAGGGAATTAGCATAGGGAGGACATCAAGGTCAAGGTCAGCAAGCAAGGCAACAGTTACCCAAAACAGGGGCCAGAGCCCTACAGGTCCCCCCTTTTACTAAAAAATGAGCTTCTGACTTAGGTTGCGTGGGACGTCAGCAGGTCACCTTACTCATCATGGAGACACCTGCTCAGGCCACACAGGTGCTCTTAGGTTGGTGAGCGGCCCCCAGGCATTACCTGACAGATGCAGTTCATTTTTAGGCAGGGTAAAGACCTAGTAAATAGATTACCCCCATCTGGAGGTTAGATTCAAGTTATCTTTAAAAACTAAGGGGTTCCTTATTATCTTCTAGCTTGTAATTATCATTTGACCTGAAATATGTCCTACAAATGGACCCAGCAGCGGAGATGTGGCAACTTAATGAATGAAACAAAGAAGATATAAAAAGGAAAGGACATGACTACCCTTAGGTATGGTGGAGGAGAAAGTTTTAGATAAAACGGAGAGTGTAGGTAGAAGCAGGGACATCTGGGGGAGTCCAGAGTGGACGTGACCAGACTGAGCTGGGCCATATGGGGAGGAGAGAAGGTGGGAAGGAGAACCAGGTGCGGCAGCCAGAAGGCCAAAGCTACAAAAAGGGACAAGGTAACCAAAATGTCTGGGTAATATAGGGAAGAACCTCTTGGGAAAAGTGCAGCCCAGCCCCTGGGCTGGAGAGTTCAGGGTAAATGGCCAGGTATGTCAGCCATACCCTGTGACAGGTAGGGACAGAGGGGTGCTGGGAGAACCTAGCGGCCAGGTCCACTTGGATATGTTAAGAAGGCACCTCAACCGCTTGTCCCCGGTTTAAAACTTGAAGAGCAGAAATTAAAAAGTGAGTCTTCGGACTGATTGAATTTAAGGCCCACTCCCTAAAATGGAACCCACACCTGACACTGCTAAGGTGGCCTGAGACTAGACAGGCCAGGGACCTAGAGGAAATCCAAATACTGTTCTGCCAAAGGGACTGTAGCAATAAAACAATGACATTCTGCTATACACATAGTTCAGTGTCTTGTTCAGCCAGCATCAGAGAAGCTTCCCCCTACAGCAGATGGAAACAAAAACAGAGACCCACAAAGGACAAAGTGCAGAGACAAACACTGGAATATTAAGTCCTAAATGGGATGTCTCCATCAAACCCCTCCTCTCAGGGTTCAAGGAACTAACTTTATGGCAGAGGAGGCAGAAAGAATGTAAGAATCAGCGGTGAGGGAGGACACCAAGGACACAAGGCCCTCTAAACACAGCCAGGACCAACACATAGGAATTCAGATATTGTGGCAACACACACATTCCCTACACGGGTCCAAGCCAGCTGGGGTCCTAGAGACAAAAGAAGTTGACACATGACCCCTCTCCCCATCCCTAGCCCAGAAGCTAGCTCCAATTGATAACTGCTTGCGAAAGATAAATCAGTTTTCTCCAATGGAGTATCATTGGGGATACAAACTACTTTTAAGGACAGACCCCATGCCCAGCAGTAGATGGCCAACACAAACTCAATGGCATTTTTGGAGATTCCTTGACTCAATGCTTTGTCTGGTGCTGTGGCTATCGCTCTGTATAAATAAAATGCTGACTGGCGAGTAGCCAGGCAGGAAGTATAGGCGGGACAAGGAGAGAGAACTGTGGAAAGTGGAAGGCTGAGGCAGAGAGATATACTGCCAGCCTCCGCCAGGACAAGAAAGATGTAAGGTACCAGTAAGCCACGAGCCACGTGGCAAAGTATAGATTAATGTAAATGGGTTAAGATAGAAGAACTAGATAACAAGACGCCTGCCACGGCCATACAGTTTGTAAGGCATATCAGTCTCTGTATGTTTACTTGGTTGGGTCTGAGCAGCTGCAGGACTGGCGGATGAGAGAGATCTGTCCTGGCCGTGGGCCAGGCAGGACCAGAAAAACTCTAGCTACAGTCTGGGCATTAGTTTTAGTTGGTTTTTCTCCTTACAGGTCTTTTGCATATATCTTATGGTTTCTAGTGTTAGGTTTTTATGGGATTTCTGTGTGCTGTGTGTCTCTGGTTCTATATGCATTTCTTGTGCCTTTTCTTTGGTTCTTTTTCTCCTGGTAGTTTGCTTGCTTCATCCTATTCTGGCTTGTTTTTGTCATATTTTATTATTATTTTTAGATGCCTGTTTGTATTCTGATGAGGAAAAGGGTATAGATTTGGGTAAATGGGGAGACAGGATCTGGGAAGAGTTGGGGGAAGGGAAGCAATAATCAGAATATATTTTATGAAAAAAAATCTATTTTCAGCTAAAAGACTGGAATGATGGTTCAGGCATTAAGAGCACTGGCTGCCCTTGCAAAGGTTCAATTCTCAGCTTCCATAGGGCAGTTCACAACTATCTATAACTCCAGTTCCAGGGAATTCAATGCCTCTTCTGACCTCCACAGGCTCCTGCATGTATATGGTGCATGTATGTATGCTCAAGTACACACATACAGACATAAAATTATATATATAAAATATATGTGTATTGTTCCTTAGTAGCTTTCCACCACATATATGTGTGGAATGACTAATAATGAAGATAAGATAGATCATTTCTTAATTCTGTAGATATCTTAACTCAGTCAAGAGATTCACAAATATTTCATTATTTTGCTGTTTTGTTTTTCACTGCAATAGTATATACCAAAGAGAACGTTAGTTTTAAATTCAGACATATATATGAGCCTTTAAGCCATAGACACAGTAACGTGTACAATTTCTGAACTTTAGTTTTCTAGAATGTAAGGTATATAGATCGTAACTTTCAGTGTTGTGAGAATTAATAGAAAGTACTGCCTAACAAATTTTGAAATGTTCGGTATGTTCTATATACCTTCACTTTGCTTTGAAATGTGTTCAGTGTAAAAATACCTATAGTAAAAATAAACAGTGATGTGAAGTCAGGATTTGTGGCCAAACATAACTATTTATTAAGGTTTTTTTCTTATAAACATTTTCTTTCTTACAAAAAAGAAAAACCTAGAATTTAAATACCTCCCATTCCACCACATATAAGACTGTATACATTATTTACATCTCTCAAATAAAACATATTACAGATTTTCTGACATTCAGTATTTCCTTTAAAATAACAATAATGAAGCAATTAAACTATGATCAGTAACTACAATTTGCATAATCTTGGCACAACTTACAATATGGCGCCCACGTTGTATTTCATATTTCAGACCATTTTCTTCCACCTAACTACCTGACTAGAGGACCTGTCCCCTCATGAGAACAGACTCTTGTCTCTGTGCATCTCTTAAGCAAGTGCACAACTCAAATGCTGTCCTTCCGCTTCCATTACTTGGTACTGGCAGTTTTTCGGATTTTTGTCTTCAGAAATGATTTCTATTCTGACTTTAAGTGTTCCTTATTATTGGCTGTTTTCATGACACTATTTCTACTAATAATTTTAAGTAATATCTTAAATGTATAGGGAAAAAAATCAAATAGAGTAAAGGTCTTCCGTAAAATATTAGTGATTTCACCACCCTGGTTATGCATATACAAAAATAACAAATAAGTAGCTGTAAAAAAGTATTTTCCCTAAAAATAGTCATTTCTGCAAAACAATTTAAGGAGAAGTGTTCTGAAATGAAAATGCACTGATATATTTTTCAACCTATACAACTATTTCAGAAACAAAAATGCAAATTTGTGCAAAACGACAAGAACTATCCACCTTTAAGAATAATTATGAGGGAGAAGTTAGGAAACCGTCACTTGACATCACCAGTAACTGCAGCTTTGGTGACATAAAGAGACTGTCCAGCAAACAAGAAAACCTGTGTGGACAACACTTCAGAATGACTAACGAACTGTAAATCAGTTGTGAGTGCATGTGAGCGAGCGTACGACAGATGCCGAGTAGGAAAACACAAATCTATGGAGGCCAGTGATTTCACTTACTGCATGTTTGAGAACTGTGTAGCAATATGTGCAAAAGAGAAGGAGGGGAGGGGAGGGGAGGGGAAGGGAAACCTGCACCAGGAACTTGCATCACACTTACAAAACTGAGGACCAAATATTTTAGTTTGCATTTTTTCTTTTGTCAGAATATAAGTAAGTCCAACTATAAGTGGTAGACAGAGAGCATGGCAGTCTTAGACCTTCAAAATGAATTCTCACAGATTAACTTCTGAGGAAAACCTTAAAAATTCCAATCATTTGCATTCAGAATCCTGCTGCGTGTTCCTTGTTTAATATTGAACTTTCCCTATTAAATCTTGAAACAGACCTCTACTCTATTTATCACTCACATATAATCATGCTGGTAACAGTGGCCCCTATGGCAAATCTCTATGTTATGGCAAAGTCCTAAAGACTGAGCTGAGTTTATAAGTGGTATATTCTTTAACAGATCAAGTAAGTTTCAAAATAAGGTGTTTATCTAGTATGCAATCACATTTCAAATTACAAATAAACTTTTGGTCCAGTATATAGTCAAAGGACAATCAGAATTTAATGATATGTGCTGAATACTTACATGATTTTAAATGTTATTCATGATAGGTAGGCTAAAACTTGGCATAATTAAATAGTAAAATTTATTCCAATTTTCAATATCCAGTCTTTAAAGTCAGATTGAAAGAAAAACCTGTTTAAAATAAAACAGGTAAAGGCTTTGTTTCTTTAAGTTGCTGTTTGAAAAACTGGATCCATGTTTCCCTACTATTCTCTCAATAAAAACTGTCTTACACAATTCAAAGGTTTTAAGGAAAAGGGAGGGGAAAAACAGAAATCAAGGTCTAGAGAAAGACCTTAGTTTTAAAATGCTATTTAAATGCAAAGTAATTAAACTGAATCTCTTTTAAAAAATGTTTTCACATGTAAATGATGGTTCCCACTTGCAATAGTGACATCAGGAAACTATTCTTCTATTCTGATATGCAGTCAATGTCTGTAGCAGTCTTCTCTGAAGATTTAGAGCCTAAAATATACTCTTGATTACCACACTGGCTTGGTACTCAGAGAATAGCCAAGTTAGTGAATTTGATTTGGTAATTAATGTGGGTTCTACTAAGCTTCGAAAACTGTTTTTGTGCAACTAAAAAGATGAAACTGATTTTTCTTACATAGTCATAAGCCAATTCTCAAAGCACCTATGACACATTACCAAGCTCTAGAAACATACTTTGCAACCTAGCTGAAATAAACAGTGCTCCAAAGAGAACTGCTTTGAAAGTCAACTCTCATTTGGATGTTAATTAACACACAACATACTCATTTTAAAAGGAAGTTCCACAACTTAATATTTGTAGCTCACATAATCTACCATTTCAGTGGTTATTCAAAACCTCTCTCAGAGAGGGTGTAGACAAAGCTATAAAAGAAATCCGTTTTACTACTTTTCCTATACGTAAGGAAAATGCTCATTACATAAAATGGAATCTAGTAATTACATATGCAAAATATAAATATCCATATTTCTATCTTCTGGGAAGGGACTGTAGTGCTTCATCCATCCTGATGATCCAGGTAGTAACGCAGTCAGAAATAGACATTAAAAATAGACTCTGCTACCCATTTACAATTTACAATGACTAAGAGTTACAAAGCGGCAACCACCTAAATCTTTCATTTCAAGGTATACAGAGCTCCAAAGCCACCCACCCACACACACATGTTCACTGTCTGGGGCAGTCTAAGGGCATGGCTTCTGTGGGAACTGGAAGAACCAATCAGAGTGTGAACGCGGCCAGCAGCACCTCCTACTACTAACGACAAACATTTCAGTGGGTGTCTCTTTACCACCACTGCTCTGACAACTAAATCAGTCCTAAAACTTCTTTCATCATGTCCACATTTAACCAAAGCACTGTGGATAACAATATAATAGTAACATACTACATTCAAATTGTATGGGATGAGCTTATGCAAGAATGAGAAAAAACAACTTGCACTTTTATAACTGTATAAAAATGGGGTAGCCAGGTGTGGTGGTACATACCTTTAATCCAAGCATGTAGGGTGCAGAGGCAAGGGATCTCTGAGTTTGAGACCAACCTGGTCTATATAGCCTGGTCTCCAGGCTAGCCAGGGCTACATAGAGGGACCCAGTCTCAAAAACAAAGAAAGGGGAGATAATTATTTATTTATAAATTAACAGATCTAAAAAGAATCTAACAGACATGTATAAGCAAGCTCTGAAAAATAAACTTTCATCCTTATTTTATAACAGGGCATTTTACTTTCAGAGCAAGTTTTTATTAAACTGACTTTCTCTTTTGTTCTAGTGTTTCCTTACTTATAGCCATCTACCACCATGTACACATGCCAGGCCTTTCCCCAGAAGAACTTCTCCTCTTTCTACACACACACACACACACACACACACACACACACACACACACACACACACACAATCTCCTTATTTCCCCAAATCGAGGGACTACCTGGAACCGTGGCACCTGAGATTCTGGCACAGTGAAAATAACTCCTACCTAGGGTAGTGGGAAGCTAAGTCCCTCCACTAGGAACCACTAGTTTCTAGGAACAGTTTGCCATTCTTACAGCGTACTGTATGTAAGGCTTAAAGGACCAGAAACAACCTCTCACTCTTCTCTCACTATGGAAGCCCCTAGTTACTAGGCTGATATGAAGTCAAATACATTATGGAAGACTTTCAGTGAGTAATTATGTGCTTCATTTCCTGTACAGAGAGGACTCAAACATCAGAATTCTAAAGCAACTCATAATGCTTGATATTACCTATTTAGATACTAAAAAAATTATTTTAAGAAAATCAGTTAGCTGTCAGTTCATAAATAAGCACTACTAATAAATGCCCAGTATTATCTACCTTTTCCAAGCTCTTTTGTTCCTTTTATTATTGGTACTTGGTGAGCAATGGCCATCACAGAAATGAAATGGAGAAAAAGGCAGTTCCTAGTGATCATAATTGCAAGGGCATTCAATTCTATCATTGTTCACTTGTTAATGACAAAACCAAATTTACTTCGTTTTAGCCTCTTTTCCACTAAGTATATGCATACAAATTCACAGCAAGCATTTCTATTTTACTAGAGGAAAGGTATGTGTCTCTAACTACACACACACACACACACACACACACACACACACCACAGACAGAGACAGAGAGAGAATGAGAATTGAAGGAAACAATTTATCCAAACTGACAAAATTAAAACTCAGAGTCTGAAAAGCGTATTTCTCAAGAACAAACCTGATGGGGGAACCTCAATATTAATTCTAAAAACCAAATCCCCGATCTTGTAATTGATGATGGCAATTCAACAGAATGTCATGTCAACTGAAATTTAAAAGTTATTAACTACCGAGCTAGTATTTTTATTACTTGATTTCACAGTGGAAAAATAAGTCAGGATGCTTCAAACTGCACCAATAATCAAAGTAGTGTATCATTTAAAATGACAGGCAAATATCAGATCCATTCACTGAATGGAAATGCTAAAAAGTAATTAATTTCCCCCCAAATAGTCATTAAATTCCATGTTGAATGTCTGTACCTAAAACTAAGTATTTATTTTTAACTTCTCATGGAAGCTGACTTCTAAAAGGAAGTCTTCAAGACTGTTTATAAGTAATAAACACCATTCTATTCCAGGGTTTTAAAACGGGACTTTCTAGAATCTGACTCCCCATACTTAATCCTGTCTCTTTTGATTTCCCAAACAAACTAATGCCTGCCACTAACCCTTCTCATTTTTCCCTCCGCTTTGATGTACAAGGGGATTCTGCACTTATGGCTCATTTGGCAACTGCTAGGAAACCTCACAGTTCAGCATCCTTTCTCAAGATGGCAATTCCATAAATAACCTGAAGTTTTACACTTACAGTGCACTTAACATGTAGAAAGAAGCTGAAATGCAATAGCTATTACATTTCAACATCCTCAAATTTTAATATCACAGATATTGAGAGATGGAAAAAGACCTGCTTGTAGAACTTTAAACATCTGTTGAACAGAATATATTAGTCAATATCAAAAATAATTAAGAATTTTGTTGTTTCACATTTATGTTCTACATGCACACCTTTACAAATTATGTCAAAAATAATTAAGAAATAATTGTTGTTGTCTTACATTTATGTTCTACATGCACAATTTTACAAATTATGTTTTTTCAATGTAGTAAAAGCAGGACATCATCAACTTGAGTAAACTATGGCTTTTATAACAGATTACTTTACACCATGCACAAGTAAGTGCCCTAGATAGAAATTCTAATATTGTTTCAAGCTCTGCTCAGTCCTATATCTGTGCTTTGCACTTCAGAAGTGAGCCTATCAAGGCACTTAAAAACACGTAAGTCTGTTTTAGGGACTTCAAAGTGGGCCACAATTTACACAACACAGAATCCAACCCATCGGCATTTCAGTTAGTATTTGTGTCCAGAGTACAATATCATAAAAATTCCTCAAGTAACCAAAACCAGGTTAATAAAAGTAAAATATATATATAAAAAAAAAATACTGTACACCACTAAGATAAAATTTGCCCCTTTCAAAGGTAGAGAATGGTTCTTGGCTTCCTCTAGAAACAAAACATAATTTTATATATTCAGAAGAAAAAAGGGAACCCAAGCAAGCCCCCAAACCTAAAACACAAACAATCCAGATAAAAACAAAATATAACAAAGCCCAAATAAACCCCTCACAGCTCCAGGGGAGGAAGAATTAACGGCTTTCATCCTTTCATCTGTCCTTTGAAGTGAGTTTTTCAATCAGTTCTTGGAGTGGTGCAAGTTCTCTTCTGTCAATAAGGTTGAACTCCTACAAAGAGCAAAACATTATTTGCATCTAATTCCAAAGCAGATTACTATGGATACAAGCTTCTAAAGTAAAAGTAAACTTCATTTTTAAAACTGTTTACTACCTTAAAAAAAAAATCACTTGACCTCCTCCTTGATGCTATTTTTAACATCTGTAATATTAAAAAACAAATCCCCCCTAGCTCATGAAATTATTGTGGAGACTAAATCTGGTAGCCACTTCTAACTACTTAGTGTAATTCCTGGCTCACACTACCAATCAGTAAGTGGGAGCTGTTGCTTCCAAACGAAAAGAGTACACTGGGTGGCACTGCAGTATGTCAATCAAATAAGGATCTGCTATCACTGCGAAGGAAAAGCTTTTACCATGGACAAATTAAGAAGTTGGGATACTGTGCCAATAATCATGGTACTGTATCTTTTTTTTTAATGATTGATTCATTTATTATATTTACAGTGTTCTACCTGCACACCAGAAAAGGGCACCAGATCTCATTATAGCTGGTTGTGAGAAACCATGTGGTTGCTGGGAATTGAACTCAGAATCTCTGGAAGAGCAGCCAGTGTTCTTAACCTCTGAGTCATCTCTCCAGCCTGGTACTGTATCTTTTAAAATGACTTTTTAAATGATTTCTGTTGAACTATGATTTTAAAAGTGAATAAATAAAGGTGACATATACTTCCAGTCTTCTGTATGATGGACTATTCTCAACTCTCAATTTCATTTTTTCATTAGCACCCATCTTATGGCCAGCACTGCAATCAGTACTTTAGAGAAGCATTAGCCTTAATATTAAAAGCCTACCCCCTCAGATCTGTGGAGAACATGTGAGAATACATACATGGGAATACATACCATATGACTAAATTTTTGTTTTGACATTAAAGAAATATTGTTAAATAAAGCATGTCCAATCTTCCTATCTTGACAAACCTTCAGAGTGACCAGAACAGCAGACTCAAATTTAGAACTCTTAAAACGCCTCATAATTCTACACTACAAAGTAGATGGTATGAGATCCAACTCTGAATACCTAGTCCACAGTTAACCTTTTGCTTTTCCAACCCTAAGCTCCACCAGAGCCCAAAGGGGCCCCAAGCAAATGAGTAAAGATAAGTTGGCTAGCAAATATGAGTGATGTCCACATACCTCTAACAAGCAAGTATCATCTGGGTACTCCTCATGTCTAAAGTTATACCTAGTAGAGATGTGACCTATTCTTCAAAGAATAAACATCAACAATTCATCTGAGAGCATAAGGGTAGGGAATTCTGGGATCACTTATATTCTAAACACGTGAGACACTATGTTGTTGGCCCTGTAGACTCTGGACTGTATGGGACCAGAGCAAGATTCTCCAGTTCAGAGGCCCAAGCAAGTGATATTCTTAACCAAACGGTGTTGCTAGGAGGGTAAGACGTGCAAAATGCTCTCAATTGATTCCCCACTATTTGCCAGCACATAGCAAACAGTATACTTTATGGCCATAAAGTAAAGTAAAACTAACACTTGTGAAGGAAGAATATTTTCACCTGAACCAACAAAAACTAATCTTTGGCAATCATTTTCTGATGACTAAAATATGAATGTAAATCTTCAGTAGTTTCTGTTGTTATGGGTCTGCAGATGAGACTATCAAATAACTCAACAAGGTTTTGGAAAGTTACCACCTCTTACAATGTGTTTGTACAGATAATTTAAAAGAAGTGTGCCTTTAGGGTAAGGAGTATGTATTAATGAAAATGGACACGTTTCTTTAGCAGAGAGGAAAGTAAAAATAATATTGATAGACATATACTAACATACAAAACCAACACAAAATAAAACTAGCTTTCTCCCACCAACATCTCCTTCTTCTAATCTCTACAAAAACAGGAAACAAATTAACTAGTTGGCTCATCTATTTCCAACTCTTTCACTTTTCCCTATTATTTCTCTAATCAGAGAATTAAATAAAACTATATTCTTGTATAGTTTTTCTGGCCTCATTTGTTTGAGACAAGGTACTGATAGGTAGGTAACCCAGGCTGGCCTTCAACTCCTGATTCTCATGCCTCAGCCTCCAGAGTACTGGGCTGTGGTAGGAGTCACCGTGCCTGGTTTCTTAATCTACATTTCAAAGCCCAGCTCTCTTAGGATTAAACAAAGGGAAACAAACTAGTAAGTCAGCTCAAACTATAAGGGACCTCTAAAACACACTCTGACTCTTTCCTCACACATTATAGTCAGTCATTAGCTTCAAAATTACTTAGAATATGGTTTTAAAAAGAAGTGGGGGAGCTGGGTGCTTTGAAATATGCCTTCTTTAATCCTAGCGCTCAGGAGGCAGAGGCAGGAGGATCTCTACAGAGTGAGTCTAGCCTGGTCTACAGAGTGAGTTCCAGGACAACCAGGGTTACACAGACAAATGCTGTGATGTGATATTCAAAGTATACATGCATGAAAGAGTCCACTGACAGAGATCTGAGATTCTCCTTTTAAAGTAGAGGTTTAAGAGAAGGAGTGCTGGAACACTTGAGACCAAGTTCACTGCAGGCGTGCCAACAGGTGCCGTTCATATTCTGATTCGTTTTGTCCTACTTGGGTGGCTTTGTTGTCTAACCATCTGTTTGTTGAGATAGTATCTTACGGCCTAGGATAGCCTGAAACTTGCTAAGTAGTTGGCTGGCCTTGAACTCAATCCTTATGCATCAGCCTCTCAGAGTGCCAAGATTATGGGCGAGTACCATCGTATCTGACTCACTATTCAGAGTTCTTATTTAGCCCCTTCATATGGCCTGGAAACTGACACAGTCCAAGCAAGGCAAGGCATCTTGGAACCATTTTTAGAGTTGCCTACCATAAACTGGTAGACTAAAGAAATGAAGAAACAAAAGGCCCATCATTATGATCTTGGAGAGTATAAAACAGGATGTAGATTATATAGAGAGAGCAAGTTCTGTTCTGACAGTGTATATGCACCACATATTCATCACAGAATTCTAAAAATAAGCAACAAAAGCTTATGAGTCAACCTACCTGAACAAAAAAAATAAAGTGCTTGAAAGATGTATTGAGATGTGCTTCCTCCTGAAGCTGGATCACAGGGTCAAAATGTTGATGATAAATGTGAGCATAAACTCTAAAGAGTCGTTTGAGAATTGTTTTTGCCACGGACATGAAATTCTTCGGGAATGGAACACCTAGTCAAGAGATAAGGCCCCTCTATTAGTAAGAAAAGAGCACAAAGCAGCATGATTTGCCATCAAGTAGCCACAGGGCTGAAAGATGCAGTGTATATGAATCCCTATTTTCATGCCCATAAAATCTTTGAGAAGTTCTTAGCACATCATGAATAAAAGTAAACTGCAGAGCTTTTTAAAAATAAGAATGAGTCTTCTTTACGGCATATTGTACGGTCTAACACACTACCACTTTACAAACACCTAAGAGGCAGCACAACTAGAACTCGCACTCAGACTATTAGATTTGTTAGCATAAGCTCCACACAAATATGTGCTAACATAAACAATGTATTAACCACTTTAGTTAATGATCTTACTACATCAGGTGCACACACACACACACACACACAACTTAGCCTTAGGGAGATCCTGATCCAGGCATAATGACACATGTCTGTAATCTCAGCACCTGGGAGGCTGAGGCAGGATGATAATGAGTTCAAGACCAACATGGGATACATAGCAAGGTCCTGTCTCAAAAAAATTAAAAGTAAAAATAAAATAAGGAGATTTGAATTTGGGAAGATATTATCCAAGGAGCACATCAGAGCCAAAAAGACTATTCCTCAATCTTATTTATATTTTGAGTGAAACAGATTTTATATATATGGAGAATAAAACCACGGTTACCGTGTTAAAGGGATAGGAGGATATAAGAGAATGTAGGTCAGAGATATATACATAATATCTGTAGCAAATACACAGGATAATCAAGTCTAAAGATCTAATATAAAAATATAAAAATAAAACTCATAATATACCATATTGAGGTTTTATCAGTTGGGTAATTATAGCTGCTTTCATAACAGAATAAAATGGATTAACTATAACACAATGCATGTTAATTTGTTTTACTATAAAAACTATTTTACTATAAATATATATTAGCATCATACTATATAACAAATATATAAAATATCTCAATTTTAATAAAAATCTGGGCCAGTGAGATGGTTTAGCTGGCAAAAGTACTTGTTGGGCCAGACCGATAATCTGATTCAATCCCCACAAGGCACATAAAGGTGAAGGAGAGAACTGACTCTACAAGGTTGACCTCTGACCCCCACATGCATACACATAATAGTAATAAGCAAATTCTTAAAAAGAAGGAAAAGAATACAAAATCCTAAATTCTAAATGTTGAACGTGGCAATCCAAGCACACACTGGTATTCCTGGCTCAGCGTCATTTTCACACCACTATAAATCACAAGGAAACAAGTACACCACAGTCAAAGGACACTGTAAAATAGCAAAAACACACAAACAAACAAAAACCCTGAAGCCCACAGTTCTAGACACAGCACTGCATAGAAGCATTAGCAGTGATCTTCTTTAGCTGTAGAGGACATTACTAGGAAAACCTGACACACACACAGGACCTAAGGTCAGAGAACAGTGCTCTAATGAAAGCATACAACGTCAGCTGTCTGACAACACTCGAAGGGTTCACTGAAAACACAGTTGTAACAGCTTAACAAGTTACTAACCCATACTAACTATCTAACAGCAACAATTTAGACTTGATAGGTCTACCTTTAAGCAAACACACCAAACAAGTAACTCAATCTACGTGAGGCCAAATCCTCAAATCTGTTTTTTTCTTCTCACATATCTTGATTTCAAAAATTGATGTGATGTGTGATGCCCATGCCTGTAACCACACTCAGGAGGCTTAGACAGGATGGCCACGGGCTTGATGCCAGCCTGATCTACAAAGGGAGATCCGAATCTCAAAACAAAAGAAAAAAATAAAATCTTTAAGATTAATTCTATGAGTTGTAAAAACCACATTCTTCTTTATTATATGTATAAAATTAGATATAAGCCATGTAAACTTTGGAGAAAAAGAAAATAAACATGAGTATGATAGGTATTATTAGCTGTCATATTACCCATTATCTTTTTTCTATGATAGGCCAGATTTTATTACCTCCCTATATCATAAATTCATCTGCCCATCATTTAAAACTGTAAGTGTATATTCTTAATAAATTTATTGTGAAAAGGGGTACAAGAACACTCTTGAAATGTATAAAATTAGAAATATTTGGATTGATGTGGTAACTCACTATCAGTTATAAGCTTCCTTCTGGAACTTGCTACTGAAAAGGAAAACTACTAGATATTTATAATTCTAAAAAAAAAAAAAAAAATAGAAGAGAAAAGAGGAGACTTGCATGTTGGGCCCACTCCTTTAATCCCAGCACTCGGGAGGCAGAGGCAGGTGGCTCTCTGTGAGTTCAAGGCCAGCCTGGTCTACAGAGTGAGCTCTAGGACAGCCAGAGCTACACAGAGAAACCCTGTCTTGGAAGCAAAAAAGAACTTAAAACACACTCAAAAGTAACTTCCTTCATTAGAAATAATGTCAGGAATATTTTAATCTGAAACATCACAAAAATTTTAGCAAATAAAAATTAAGTAGATGACTTATTTCTATTAAGTCTAGCCTTTCAACTAACTAGTATTTAAAACACTAGGTGTAAAGGTGAAAAAAATCAGTTTATATGTGACAGCTTGCTTATGTCATGACTGGGTTAGCAAGCTCTGGTGCCTCTTCTTGGAAACTGCATAATAAACACGCCCATCAACACAGCCCCAAGGAACTGCTCAAATGGGTAGGACAGGAAGAGAGACAGAACAATTATAGAATCATAAAATTAAATATATCATGATTTATCCCAATTATATAAAATAATTTTACCAATTTTTGATGGGAATAACGTTTCATCATCCAGCTGGTCCTGAACCCAGGTCATCAGGTAATCAATATACTTTGGTGCAGAGCACTTGATAGGCTTTTTTATGTTTGTTCCATCTGCCCAATGATATTCATATCTGCAATGGAAAGACAGAAAGCACACAGAACATCAGAAGAGGTATAGATGTGCACGTATGATGTGTATAGATATGTATGATGAATTTATACACAAATATGTTTTAAGCAATCTGTTCTTCCAAGTAAGTACACATTTTTAATCGACAGTAGCCTGTTTTGCTTTTATCACAATCCAACCTAAAGAGATCACATCAAACTCATCTTCTATTTAGATGTTTATCTCACCTGTCTAATTTTCTATCTTTTCCTTTCTTTTTTTTCTTTCTCTTTCTTTAAAAAAAAAAAGTCTCTCATTATGTAGAGTAGGCTGGCTTGTGCTGTGGAATAAACCTCTTGTACACTGTAAAGATTTGTCACTTAAGCTGGTTTAATAAAACACTGATTGGCCAGTAGCTGGCCATGAAGTTAGGCTGGAAAGCCAAACTGAGAATGATGGGAAGGAGGGCGGAGTCACCAGCCAGATGCAGAGGGAGCAAGATGAGAGTGCCATATTGAGAAAAGGTACCAAGCCACGTGGCTAAACATAGATAAGAATTATATGTTAATTTAAGTTAAGAACTAGTTAGTAATAAGCCTGAGCTACCAGCTGAGTTTATAATTAATTTAAACCTCTGAGTGATTATTTGGATGTGGCTGTGGGACAGAGAAAAGCCTCAGTTTTCAGGCTTGGAACTCAGAGATCCACCTGACTGCCTTCCAAGTGCTGGGGTTTAATCACAGGTTGCCATGCAGAGCCCCTGAATTAAAGAGCTCTCTCTAATACCGAGTAGAACAATTTGCTGAAGTAGAAGAAGTTACTTTCTCTATTGTACCTCTAAACTTTATAGTTGTTTTTCTTCCTTACATAAAATGCAGTGTAATTATTTTTACTTGGGGGCTTTAAATTTGGGGTTAAGTATAAAGAATGTCAGAAAATTCGAAGTAAAACTAATACAAGTAAGAATGGTTCAGTAGTTTTATACATTAGGACAAGGAACTAATATACCCTTAAAGGAAATTGGCAACTCAAAAATGTTCACATTTGGGTATTAACATTACCCTTTGATTAACTTGCAACCATCATGTGAGAAACAAAAGGTCAAGAACAAGAAACACTACAATGAAATGCACTCCGCCTACTCTGAAAAACAGATCAGTAGAAGAGATGCCCAAAATGTGTAAATAAAAATATGTATAAACTGCCTGCCTAAAATGAACAATTTACCCTTGTAAGATCTACCAATAAATAAATGTAAATATAAAACAAGTTAGTTGTAGCACAAATCTTAATTGGTCTTAATAATAAAAACCTAGAGCCAGATATCAGGGTGAAAACTGAAAGACCAGAGACGCAGAGCAGCCAGCCACGTTCTTACCTCTATGGAACCCTACGCCTCAAAGGGCACTGAGCTCCTGCCTCCTCCCCCTTACAGTCCTCTCTCTGCCCTGCCGTGTCACTTCCTGTCTCCACCTCCCTAGTGCTGGGATCAAGGCGTGAGATCCCAAGTGCTGGGATCAAAGGTGTGTGCCACCGCTGCCTGGCCTCTATGGTTACCTAGTGGTTAGCTCCTCCCTCTGATCTTCAGGCAAGCTTTATTTGTTAAAGCACAAAGTATGACCACAGTAACTTGATCTATATTCAGGCCAAACCCTCAGTTATTTTCTTAAACAATTCTCTCTCTCTCTCTCTCTCTCTCTCTCTCCTCTCTCTCTCTCACACACACACACACACACACACACACACACACACACACACACACACACACACACACACACGACTTTTAAGATAATAGGAACTCTCCTTACAAACTTTACAGTGTATATGTACATCAACATAGCCCTAAAGAACTAAGTACGTAGATAAAACTCCAAAATATAAAAATGTATAAACTGGGCTGGAGAGATGGCTCAGAGGTGCTGAGTTCAATTCCCAGCAACCACATGGTGGCTTACAACCATCTGTAATGAGATCTGGCGCTCTCTTCTGTATACATAATAAATAAATAAATCTTTAAAAAAAAATGTATAAACTGAATTGGCATTTAGATTTTTTAGTTTCCAACATTTCTTCCACTGTTTCATTGTTTTGTTTTTGTTTCTCTGTATAGCCCAGGATGTCCTGGAACTCATTCTGTACACCAGGCTAGCCTTAACTCAGGGATCCACTTGCTTCTACCCCACAAGTGCTATGATTAAAGGTGAACGCCATCACCACCCAGCACTACTTCACTTTTTTTTGTTTTTGGAGTTTTTTGTTTTGTTTTGTTTTACAAGACAGGGTTTCTCTGTGTAGTCCTGGCTGTCCTGGAACTCTCTGTAGACCAGTCTAGCCTTGAACTCATAGAGATCCACCTGCCTCTGCTTCCTGAATGCTGGAATTTAAAGCATGCACCACCACTGCCCAGCTAATATTTTACTTTTTAAATCAACTGTTTTCTAATCTTTTCCCCAGGGTTAGATCTGACTAAAGAATAGACTAATGAGCCCAACAATATAGCAATATAACAGAGAAATACTACACAGTATTTAAACTGATGAAAATTATCTTCAGTAATATGAGGATCCTTTCTATTTATCAAATCTACACCTTAATAATAATCCAAAATTGTTGTGAGCAGCGATACACCTTAAGAAACATTCTTAGAATAGCCTTTATTATCATTGCTGAGCACGAAGAATGACATCAAATCCACTGTGAAGTCTCAAAAGGGAGATTCTCCCAAACACCTACTGGTACCCTGCTGTGATGGTTAATCACATTCACAGAATTTTCTCTATTATAAAATTTAAATACTCAATGCAATTTTAAGCCTCTTTCTTCTTGACTCTCTTGCGAGACAGAGACTATAAGTAGGACTTAACTATCATTACTTTTCACTTAAGAAATATGAACTTAGGTGTGGTGGCCCCCAGAGGGTTCCTAGTGAGACATCACTCAAGGTCAGAGGATCTGAGCTTGTTTTACCCAGCAGGGCTGCATAATGAGATGATTTGGTCAGGGGCATGTTTATCAGGTGTTTGGAAGGGTCTACACTTGACTATATGGTGTGCTTTGATCTTGCAAGGAGGTCTTTTGCCTCTCCCTTTGACATATGTGGTGGTATTGTGTTCCCCAAAATATTGTGTACCCTAATAAACTTATATGGGGTCAGAGACAGAACAGCCACAATATTAAACATAGACGATAGGCAGTGGTAGCACAAGCCTTTAATCCTAGCATTCCAGAGGCAGAAATCCATCTGTTCAAGGATACTGCCAAGCATGGTGACTCACATCTTTAATCTCAGAAAGCGAGGCTTTAATCCCAGGGAGTGATGGTAGAAAGCAGAAAGGTATATAAGGTGTGAGGACCAGAAACTAGAAGCATTTGGCTGGTTAAGCTTTTAGCTGGTTAAGCTTTTAGCTGGTTAAGCTTCAGGCTTTTGAGCAGCAGTTCAGCTGAGAGCCATTGGGATGGGACACAGAAGCTTCCGGTCTGTGGAAACAAGATCAGCTGAGAAGTTGGCCAGGTGAGATTAGCTGTGGCTTGCTCTGTCTCTCTGACTTTCCAGTGTTCACCCCAATAACTGGCCTCAGGTTTGATTTTATTAGTAAGAACTTTTAAGATTCATGCTACAGACATATCATAAAAAGCCCTTTGAGATAAAGCTCTGGGTGGCTGGGTATTGAAGCTATCCTGTGTCTCTTTCTTATCGTCTCTTTCTATCTTTCTATCTAATATTTCCTCATTCCTGTCTCCTCCACCAAAGAACCCTTCAAAAGGTTGGAGCAGATCAGAGCTGGACTCTGACAGACTCCCACACTTAGGACTGGAGAAATAACTGAACAGCTAAGTGTGCATACTGCTCTTACTGAAGACCTGGGTTCAATTTCCAGCACTCAAATGTACTTCACAGCTACATTGCTAATGCCAGTCTAGGGGATCTGATACCCTCTTCTAGCCCCTGCAAGCTCCTGAATGTACATGGTACACACTCATACACATAAAATAATAAACAAATAAATGAATCTTTAAAAAACAAGGATGGTTCAGCAGTTAAGAAAAATCGCTGCTCTTCCAGAGGACCTGGGTTCAACTGTCAGCTCTGCATGGCAGCTCACAACTGTCTCTAACTCCAGTTCCAGGGCATCGAACACCCTCACACAGACATACAGGCAGGCAAAACACCAATAAACATAAAAAAAAATAAATCTTTAAAAAATAAACAAAATATTAATAAAATTTATATTAAAATATTATTTAAATTATATTTTCTCTCTACATTAAGAAACTTGAAAGTCTTTACCCTTTCTTCACAATCACATTTGTTAACTTGTTTGCTGTGGAACAATCTTTGTACACTATAAATATGTATTACTCTCACTGGTTAAAAAAGAGTTGACTGGCCTATAGCTGGGCAGGAAGAGATTGGGCAGGAAAGCCAGACTAGGAGGACACTGGGAAGGCAGGAGTCTCAAGAGTCACAATGTAGAGTAAACAGGATCAGAAGTACATACGTGAGGTAAACAAGCCTCAGGGCTGCACATAAATTAATAGAAATGGGCTAATTTAGGTTGTAAGAGCTAGTTAAAAACAAGTTTAAGCTATCAGCCGAGCACTTATAATTAATATTAAGTCTCTGTGTGGTTATTTGGGAACTAGCTGGCAGGTCAGAAAAGTCTGCCTACATTTGTTACTGATTTTCAGGTGTTCATTCACTTCTATATCAAAATCAAAGCAAACATGGTAAATCAAAGATTCATATTCAATGTCCTGAAGTTTTACAAATAATCTCAACTTTCAATATCCTAAGACTTTTTGAAAAATGAAACAACTATATGTTGCTTATATCTCTAGCACTTAAACCTATGATTCCCTATTCTTTTCTTTTGTTATGTTTATATAATTAAGATTTTGTTACGGTTTGAGTTTGTAATGTGTCCCACAGGCTCGGGTGTTGGCTTACTGTGGAACCTTTACAAATGATGCTGGTATACCACTGGGACAGCCTACAAGGTGTCAGCTGGAGCTCTCTCCTTTTGATCCTCAATGAAAGCTCTCACTGCCCCATGCCAACCCATCAACCATGCCTTCCCCACCACAACAGACTGAAACGCCTCAATCTGTGAGCCAGAACAGAGCCTTTCTTCAAGTTGCTTCTGTTAGGTATTTTTTTCACTACAACAATAAAAGTCACTAACACAAATTACTTCATTGGCCTGGCGGTGATGGCGTACACTTTTGATCCCAATACTCTTGGGAGGCAGAGGCAAGCAGATCTCTGAGTTTTAGGCTAACTTGGTCTACTGAGTGAGTTCTAGGACAGCTTGGGCTACACAGAGAAACCCTGTCTTGAAAAAACAAACAAACAAACAAACCAAATGACGTCATTGGTGGCTCTATTTTACCCTCAACTGTTTTGGGTTTTTTTTTTCCCCCTTTTTTTTTTGGGGGGGGGAGGGGGTTCGAGACAGGGTTTCTCTGTGTAGCTTTGTGCCTTTCCTGGAACTTGCTTTGGAGACCAGGCTGGCCTCGAACTCACAGAGATCTGCCTGGCTCTGCCTCCCGAGTGCTGGGATTAAAGGTCTTAACAGACCATTCTCTTTTAAATTCTCTTCTGTCATCACAACATTTACTTGTAAATTACAGCTCCAACATACCCACTATCTCTTTTCCAATCACAATAAACAGCAAATGTCAACCAAGTACTCAGAAACATCATTTAGTACCACTTGTTAAGAGGCTAATGATACCAACTGGTTGATCACATATACTCCAGATCTAACTCAGAATTGCTAATGAGTGCTGACAAGATGCCCCAGTGGGAAACTCCAGAGCTGACATTAACAAACATCTCTCCATGGTACAATTCTTCCTTTGTCGGTAAAGATAAAGAACTGGGACAACTCCTAGCATTAGTAATAGGCAAGAGTGCCACGCGTAGTGGGCACATGCCTTTAATCTAAGCACTTGGCAGGCAGAGGCAGGTGGGTATCTGAGTTTAAGGCCAGCCTGGTCTACATTGAGAGTTCCAAGACAGCTTGGGCTGCACAGTAAAACTATCTAAAAAGAAAAGAAAAAGACAAGAGTAAAGATTCTCCAAAAAGTGCCAGGTGTGGCAGCATACGCCTTTAATCCCAGCACTCAGGAGGCAGAGGCATGTGGGTCTCTGTGAGTTCAAGGCTAGCCTGGTCTACAAAGCGAGATCCAGGACAGCCAGAGCTACCCAGAGAAACATGTCTCTGGGGGAAAAATTCTCCAAAAAGGAAGGAAGGAAAAGGAAAAAAGCTGAGCATGGTAGGCACAGCTATAATCCCAACACAACTGAGAAAGATCCCAATGCCTACCTGGGCTACAGAGGTAAGATGTAGTCTCAAAACGATTGTGTTTGTTGTTTATTTACTGGTTGATTGAGTGAGTGACTGATTATCTTAAGGAAAAAGACAGAGAGTGAGAGGAACAGGTGGGCAGGCAATGTGCTACAAAGGAATTTGCTTTTCTTTTTAGAAGGCAGAGCTACTTTGTTCCTCAATACAAATTAACCATGTAACAGCAAAATTAAAACCATCTATTTTCGCATAAAACTTAAAACATCTGAACTAAACACCAATAGTACCAACAGGAATCAAGTTATAAAAAGGAATTTAATTTCTCCAATGCCTTTTTTTCCTTAAGAAATCTTAAAATAACAAAATAGAAATTTGATGAGACTAAGACAATGTCATCTGAACCACAATATTTAGCCAAAGGGATATCTAATTCATTTAAAATCAAATTTGATAAGGATAGGCATCTTTGGTTAAAAATCTACAGAGTCAGGTGTGGTGGTACACACCATTCATCTCAGGACTCAGAAAGCAGGCACACAGACCTCTGTGAGTCCGAGGCCAGCCTGATCTACACAGGGAGTTCCAGGACAGATGGGGCTACACAGAGACTGTCTCAAAAAAGCAACAACAGAAGTTCCATACAGGACAGTTCATACAGGACAGTTCTCCGAAATAAAGAGTTCCTCAAGGTGTGAAAACCACCGGCTGGCTACAGTTCTAACAGATGAGACCTAAAGGAAGCAGGGAACTGAGATTTGGGAAACTCACATCTGTGGGCAAGACAGCAGAAACAGCTCTCTGCTTTTCTAGTGAGAATGGCCAGGGTGTGTTTACCTCCTAAGATAGCAACACACTGAGCTCCCACACCTCTGCAGCAAGTTCTTTGATCAACTGACTAAACTCTTTTGTTCATGTTGATACATGGATCAGTAATTTTCAGGTAAATGTTGGAATATGAAGTAAAATAAACGATATATTTATATATAACTAAGTAAATAGCAGTGGCATTTACTAGTAGTAATACTAAAAGCCAACTTCAAAAGGGCATTAGCCCAACCAATACTGATTTGTGAGGAAGTAATAACAGCTGTCTTTGCACCAAGACAGATTTAAAAGAACAAATAAAGAATGAGTAGCAGCCGGGCGGTGGTGGCGCACGCCTTTAATCCCAGCACTCGGGAGGCAGAGCCAGGCGGATCTCTGTGAGTTCGAGGCCAGCCTGGGCTACCAAGTGA